CGGCGGCGCGGAGAAGGCGAGGTGCTCGACGAGGCCCGCGGCCGGTCGTCGGGCCAGGAAGCGCGCGAACCCCACGCAGCGGGCGCCTCGATCTCTTCAGGACGCGGGCCCTTCGACCCCTCGACAACTTCCCCAGGATCCGTTTTTCGTCCCGAGTTCGGGAGCCTTGAGACGGGGGTCAATGCAAACGGGGGTCAGCCAGGGCGCCGGATCCTGCAGGATCCTGCGAAGACACCCTCTGGCTGACCGGGGTTAGCGAGCCGTTCGTGGCCGCGAGGCGGCCGCTCGTATTGGCTGACCCGGGTTTGCGAAGACCTGCGTTGCATTTTTTTTTCTTGCATTGCAGTTTTTGGTTTCCTGCTGACCCGGGTGGTCAGAAGATCCCCGACGAGTCGTTTTTCGACGGTCCCGAGGTCCCGCAAGGGCTCCCAGAGGCCGAAAGTCATGAAGAACCGCCGTCTCGATGCTGTTGCAGGCGCCGGATGTCTGGATCAGCTGCAGCTTCGCATCGTTATTCGTGAACGCCAGCGACGACCCCGCCGCCAGCATCGCCCCCAGCGACCCAGAATCGGTCGAAGTGGAACGATCTGACGTTTCGGAACCGGCCGATCGTTCAGGGTTGCACGATCCAGGCGGTGTCAGGAATGAACGCTGGGTTCGTGGGGGCGTCTCCCTGTCGCACCCCGAGGCCAGTTTTTAGGGCGGGCTGGGCGTTTCGCTTAAGACTTCCTCACCGCTTATGACTCTGAAATTCAAAAACTGGCAGCAGCTTCACAGATGGAGGGCGGTTGGTTTTCAACATGTGGCTCTCGCCTCAGTGCCGCGAAATTCTTTTTGCAAATGTTGCAAGAATTTGAGGGATTGAGGGCGAGTGGTATTTAAAATGCGGCTCTCGTTTTAGTGCGGTGCACATTCTTTTTAAACGTGTTCAAGAGCACGGATGAAGGGCGGGTGGTTTTCAAAATGTGGCTCTCGCCTTAGCGCGGCGCACATTCGTTCTAAAAGTTCGCAAAGAGTTTCACGGATTGAGGGTGGTTCCTTGTTAACGTGTGGTTCTCGCTTTAGTGTCGCGCGCATTCGTTTACACAATTTCCCAGACTTCCACGGATTCCCATCATCAACGTACCAGAAATTGTGTTTTGGAAGGCTTCGGGATTATGCGGGCGCAACAGTTATTGTGATGCTCTGCGTTGAAGTGTTAATAATGGCGTTTTGGCACGATTCAGGATCGTCAAGACGCAATGGTGTTGAAATCCCGAGAGCAATGGTGTTGAATCGTCAGGTTGATCCGTGGTGTTGAAATCCCGAGAGCAATGTTTTGGCATGCTTCAGGGTCTGCAAACGGGTGTTTTCCAACGAGGCAGTTCCCTCAATGGAAATGAACCGTTGTAGGGGCCTATGAAGAGGGAGCATGGAGAGAGGGTTTACTCCAGCATCGTTGGTGACTCTTGGGTCTACAATGGTCCTCCTCCTCCTCCTCCTCCTCTTCCTCCTCCTCCCACCCATCATTCTTTCTGCGATACACAGACGATCCAGGCCTCCCAGATAGGGGCGAGCAATCAGATGGGGTCAGAGGATCCCGCCGCATGGCCGTTGCATCGGCGATGATTCTCGATGTGGAGCCCGTTTCTCTGCACACCGACGGCGCAGATGCATTGCCGACGTCGCCGATGCCTCGCCGATGCGTCAGCGATGCGACAAGATCTTCCGAACCGTGCTCGCACGCAATTTTAGAGGCCTCCAGACGAGCGGCTCGCAATGTGAGCGACAGATGGAAACCGGGTCGTCTTCACCGACATTGGCGCGCACATTGACCGCGCAAGGTCGCGCGGACGCGCCCTCGTGTCCCACGTGGCGTGCCACGCTGACTGCCTGCGCAATGTGCGGCGTAAGCTCGCCATGTCTGCTCGCGTAAGGCCTGCTTCTGCTCGTTCCTCGTGCGAGGAGCTTGCCCTCTCCCCCGCCCGCGGCGGCGGTGGGCGCAGGCTCGCCGTGGCGTTGCTGCCGATCTCCGTCGCTGGCCAGCGGCTGCAGCTGGTGCACCAGCGCCTGAGGACGCGCGCCGCCGGCGGGGCGGGGGATGGGGGCACCGGATGCGGGGAGCGCGGTGGCGTGGGCGAGAAACATGAACTCATCCGTGTCCGCTGCTCGTGAGGGGGGGTGAGGAGAGGATGAGTTGGCGGCACGCGCGCGGGGGCGGCGCTGTGGGGGCGGCCTCGAGACGCGCGCCGCCCGCCAGGGGTGCAGTGGGAAGGGTTGCTGGGGGAGGGGAGCGGGAGGTGTGGTGGGTCGCTTGGTCCTTTCACTAGGGAGGCTCTCGCAGCTGGCCTGAGCCATGGGCGAAGCTATGATCAGGGCGCCTCCACAGGAGGTATGCCTGCTTCCGTGTACTGTTAAGTCGGGCCTGTCCCCCTACAGGGGAGACATATTCTTAAAATAGTTGAAGAAATAGTCCAAACATTGGCTGGGAACTATTTTTGAGTACACCTTTTCCTGTGTCTGTGCACGATTTCCTCCACGGACGGGCGCGTTCAGAGCCGCTGTGGAACGGATCGGGTGAGGAGAGGAGGAGCCCGCGGCAAGCACCAGGGCGGCGCGAGCCACGAGCGAAGCTATGATCAGGGCGCCCCCACAGGAGGTATGCCTGCTTTCGTGTACTGGCCCACACCTTTTCCTGTGTCTGTGCACGATTTCCTCCACGGACGGGCGCGTTCAGAGCCGCTGCGGCACGGAGCGGGTGAGGAGAGGAGCCGGCGGCAAGCACGGGGGCGGCGCGAGGGGGGGGGGGGTCTCCCAGGAAGTCGGGGTGGGGCTTGCCAGGAGGCCCTCGAGGCTTCCAAGGTTGAGTCTTCCAAGAAGGCTTATCAGAAGCTGATGGGGCCTCCTGAGATGAAGGGGCCCAAGGACACACAAATAAGTACACACAAATAACAGTATTCCCCATATTTCCATATATTTTCTGTGTTTTGGTCTTCCCCGCCCACTTCCCATATTTTCCTATATTTTCATGGGACTCGACGATTAATTGTGTCTGTGTGTTTTTTCTCCTCCTGATTTGAACCTGCCTTCTCAGCACCCCCCGCCTGCTTAGAAGGCCCTCCCCCTGCACCCCCCGTGTGCGCGCGCGCGTCCATCGGAGACCCCCACCTCTTGCTGTGTGAAAATCACGGCGGGATGTTTTTGGCTGTTTTCGACCTCCGTGGGGGCTCTCGCCAGGACTCAGGGCCTTCGACCAACCACCCAGGATGAACATTTGGTCCCGTGGAAGGGGTCCAGATCCTCGTGGTTCCACGTTGTGACAAGCTCACGACGACGGAGTTCTGAGGAGGCGTACGGGGAGGACGGGGGTTGCGTGAGGGGGGGGGGCGTTGGATGGAAGACAGGGCGATAGGAGGATGGGTGTAGCGAGGATATGGGGAGTTCGATGGGAGGATGGGGGGTGGGTGGAACGGGGAGAGTGGGATGAAGAGGATGGGGATGGGGGGGGGACGGGGCATAGCAGGGCTTGGAGCAGAAGGAGACGAGAGGAGTTGACTGAAAGCGAAGGGGTTGTGACGGGAGGGGGGTAGCCTATGTCATCAGCGGGGACGCGAAGATGATCGCGCGTCTCGGTCCTGGCCAGAGCGGGAGCCCTTTTCCCAGAATGGTTGCGGCGCAAAGGCGCGAGTGCGCGAAGGTAATCGCGCGCCGCGGGGAGCGGTGCGCGAAGTTGGGTGTCCGATGTAGCGGCAGGGCCCACGTCGATCCGATGGATCCGATGCGGCATCGACTTTGGCCATGCTGATTCGATTCGGTGTCGATGTCCAGGCGATCCGATGCGGCCCGACGCTTACATGCTCAGGAGGGAACAAACACAGACACACTTAATCGTCGATCCCCGAGACAATATGCGAAAAGATGGGAAGTAGGGGGGAAAACAAAAACTTTAAAAATATGGGAACAGATGGGGGATCCTTCAATTTGTGTGTATGTATTTGTGTGTGTCTCAGGGCCCCTTCAGTACTGGTGTGGCCGATCCGATTCGTTTTCGAGTTGGTGCCACTGCGGCCCGATGCGGCGCGCGCTCCAAGTCGACGCGGCGTCCCGCTTCGAGTGTTGACCGACCGTGGGCAACCGAGGGGGATGGGGATAGGCGGAGCAAGCGGGAGGGGGAAACTTAACGGGCGAAGAACGGTATAACATACACTTTTTCGCTGTCGGGGGCGCCTGTCCCAGGGCGGCTGGAGAGTTTATACCCTTACGGTGGCACCGTAGGGGTATAAACTTTCCAGCCGCCCAGGGGCAGGTGTCCCCGACGGCGGAAAGTTTATTTTTCATACCGTTCTTCGCTCGCTGAGTAACGGGCCCACGACGAGAGGAAACATGGGGCGGGACACTCCCCCCCCTCCCTTTCGGGTCCCTCCGAGGCCTCGGGCCATCCCCCGTCGGCGAAGCGACCCGGCGAGGCGCAGACTTTTTTGGTCGGCGGGTCGGGGGCTTCTGCCGGTCAAGGGCGAGGCGCAGACACACGGCCCCAGTTTCTTCGGTTCCCGTTCGGCTCTGCGGATTGCAACCTCCTCTTCCCGCCCTCCCGCGGCAATTCCCCCATCGCACCTTCCACCGCTGTTTTCTCTCCGTCCGCCTGGTCTCCGCCCGAATGAGTGAGCAGTGGTACCTCATGAGTACTACCGTGCTCTCTTCCCTGGCTCTGTCGGAGAATGTGCTCGCTGAGGGTCTGCTTACGAGGGTGTCTCGAGGGCAGGCGATGCAGGTCCAGGCCCCATGGTGCGATTCTGGAGATTTGGATTTTTGCTGATCGGGATCTGGTGTCCGGAAGTATGCATTCCCGAAAACCAGTATACATTCAATGCCATTGGCTCGCATGAGCGATCGCGATTCATCTTGGGGGCCCACAGCTGCCCTCAACAGCTGTTCGATCGGATTCGTTTGACGCGGCGTCCGGCGGGGGGGTCGCGCGCGGGGGGTTTCTTAGAATCGCGCCCGCGCGTCGACGCGCGCGCCCGCCCTGGGGGCGTCGAGGGGCGCCAGCGCGAATGTGCGAACAGAAGGGCGGGGTCGCGGCGGCAATTCGCAGGCCCGCGCCGGCAGCAGCGCGCCCCAGTATTTTGGGCGCGCAGTTTCGCCCGGCGCGTTTTGCAGCGTTGCGGGCGCGTCGTTTCGCCGCTCTGCGGGAACGGTTCGTGGGGGCGGCCGTTCGAGGGGGGCGCCGCGCCGGGGGGAGGTCGCGCGCCGTCGCGCAAGAGACGCGGCGCCAAGTCGACGCGGCCCGCGATCGCGCGAGGGGCGCCGCGCCGCCGTTGCGACGCTCGTCTCCCTGCCAGAGCGTCCTCGCCGCGACGGCGGCGCGCGCCCGCGCCTGAAGACTTCGTCGCGCTTAGGAGCTGGCGCGGGCGACCGCGTTTCCAATGCTGCGCCGCGGCGGCGGGCGCTTGCCGCGCCGCCGGGGGAGGGCGCCGCGGCCCTGGGGCCGCGCGCGGCCGGACTCGGTGGGCCGCGCGTCTCAAGGCCGCGCGTGCTCGAGCTCCGCGCGTCAAATCTGGTCGCGCAGCAGGGCGCGGCGAGGTGAATCGCGCGGGTGGGGCCGACGAGCGAAATCTCGCGCTCGTGCGCATTTTCCACTCTGTTGACGGGCGGCTATGCCACCGCGCATCAGCTTCGCGCGGGCAGCGGGGCATGGCGCGCCAGGGGGCGCCGGCCGCCGGGCCGCGCGGCACGGCGTCGTCGTCTGCGAATCGGGCTTGCGCGCGGGGGCGCAGCAAGTGACGCGGAGCGCGCTGAGTGCCTTCGCTCGGCGAGTTGGCAGATGGCCAATCGCGTCGCCGCGCAACTGCGCGACTGGAGCAGCCAGCCCCCCCGGCCCCCTAGCGGCGGGTTCAGGGGCATTTCTGCCGATCGGCCCGTCGATCAGCAGTGGGCGGCAGGGCAAGGGAAGGGCCATCGGGGGTCCGCGAGCGAAGAGGGGTCTTGGGCGCGGGCGGCGCATGCGCGCAGTGACCGATTGTCTTGCTCGCGCATTCATTGCGCGCGAAGCTGTCGGGCGCGCGGCAACCGCGCCGCTGTGCCTCTTGGCCCGCGCTCCCGCGCCGGGGCACGCCGGCTTCTGCGCCGCGGCGCCGCGCCGTGGATCGGCGACCTGGCCGGCGCGTTGCCCTGCCCGTGCGGCCGATCGGCGCCAGGTCCAGGCGGGCGGTTGGGCGCTGGGCATCGCGCCGGGGTCGCAGATTCTGACGGCGGGCCTCGCTGGCCGGCCAGATCTTGCCCATCGGAGCTCGGCGCGCGGCGAGGGGGGATTTCTTCCGTATCTCTCCACCGTGAAATTCAACATTTCCGCGCCGTGAGATTTGTAGAACATTCCACCGCAGTGAATTTGTGGCAGCATCGCCGCGCCAAACGATGCTCACTGAGAAGATTTAACAGCGTCGCCGGGCCCGCGTCTTTGTGCCCGCGAATTTTCACGGCGGGTCGCCGTGCGCAAATTTCGGCCCGCGTTAACAAAAGTTGAACAATTGCGCCTGGGGCGCGGAAACGGCAGCAGCGCTCGCGCGGGCGACTTGCGCGCGCCATTTCGCGCGCCCGACGCTTCGCGCGCGTCGCGCGCCGCATTTTGGGCGGCCGGACGCGCGGCGGCACGGGGTCCGTCTTTCATGTCCGCCGCCCCGTTCGGAGTGCTCGAATGGAGCGCCTCGGCATTGCCCGCGCCCCCCCGGGCCGTTCGCGCCGCTCCGGGCCGTCGACGTTGCGCCCGTCGCCCATGGGGGGTCCGCGAGACTCGTCCGGCCCCCGTTCGTGACTTCGGCGCAGCGCGCCCCTCCCCCCCCTCGCCGCGGGGCCTGAGGCCGTCGCGGAAAATGTCACAGCGCGCGAAGGCGCCTTGAGGTCCCCGGGCGTCCGCCGCGTCGCGCGAGATGGCCTGGGTCGCCGCGCCCCCCTCGTGCCCCGCCCGGGGCGACCGCGAGCCGCTCGGCGAGCCTGGTCGCCGCGAACCTGATGATTCCACTTCTCGGACTGCCCGGCGTCGCGCATTCTGCCGCCGATGTCCGCGTGGCCCACGTGA